CATAGAAAACGTATCTAAAGCACCAGCACACTTACCTTTCTTTTCATAACTGAGCCAAAATCAAACAATTTCAGTTATCACGCCCCCAGAAAAGAAAAACCTGAAATACGGATTTATTTTCTAGGTGATCTGTGCAGCCATCCTTTGATCATTCTATGAACAGCCTAATTCCTCAACATCTGACTTTGCCTTTAAAAGGCTTCCTTCCACACGACGGGATTTCCCTAAGAAACATCCCAGCGGATGGTTTCCAGCAATAGTCTCTATCAACTCAGCCTGCGCAGGCGAAGACTTGGCTTCTGCTCATTTCACCCCCGCCCCCCCAACACACACACCAGTTCACACTCACAGAACCATCCCGGGCCGACTTGAAACACTATTTTATGTACATGTTTGCCCGTCGCTCCCCGAATGAATGCTTTTCCAACTGACCTTTCCACAACTGCCGAGATGGCACGCTCTGCAGGGCGAGCGCTGGAAACTAGGAGATCTGTTCGCATCCAAATCCCTGCAACCTTCTCTGCCCAAGTCCAGATCCTCCGAGCCCCCGGGCAGGAATCCTGAAGGGTCTGCAAAGCCTCTCTCCGAAGGGTCCTGCCCGCGACCCACTCGCCCACAGTCAGCATCCCGCACGGGCGCAGCCCCATCCCGCACGCTGCCCGCCCGACACCCGCACCCCGGTCCGAGGCGGACGCGCCGGGCACGAGGCGGCCCTGCCTCTTACCTTCCCTGGCTTTCAGCAAGACTGTGTTGGCCACGATGTTTTCCAGCTCCATTGACAGTCGGCGGTCAGCGAGGGAGCCGGCCGGCGGGGCTGTCAGCGCCTGGTGTGCTGCCGCTGCTCCTGCCGCTGCTCGGGCTGCCGCCGCTGCTGCCGGAGCTGGGAGCCAGCAGCCCGCCTCGCCTACCGCATTATTCCTGCTCCCAGCCCAAGAGTTTCCCCCTCTGCAAAGAGGAGCCGCCGCCGCCGCCGCTTCTTCCTCCCTCTGTGTCCCCCCTCCCCCCCTCCCTCAACACGCTCCCCCCCACCCCCCCACCCTCCGCGTGTCTCTGTCACTCCATTCTCCTCCCCTCCGGCTCCCTCGGATGCTTCAATGCCTCGGATGCTTCTGCCTCCCCTCCGTCCCTCCCGGGGGTGTGGTACTCCAGGCTCGGGCGGCCGCACTGCGCAGGCGCCGGCCTGGGCGCGCCTCCTGCCTGGGCACTCGCGGCGCGGGGCCTGCTGGGAGCTGGAGTCTGAGCTGAACTGGCGCGCGGCTGCCGGAGCGAGGACCCGCCCCGGGACGGCACCGAGAGCGAAGGCAGGCACCGCCCGGCCAACAGGCGACTCCGAGGCGGCCCAGCCGCGCCGAAGCCCTCAGCACCCCCACGCAGGCTTCCGCCCCGCCGGGAGCCAGGAAAGCGGAGTATCCAGAACCCGCTGGCGGCGGGCGAAGCGCCGTGGCCCTGCGGGAGCCAGTGCGGGTCCCGGGCTGCCCCTCGGGACGTGCTCGGGGTGGGAGGGCCGCCAGTCCGGCCGCGTGCCACTGCCCGCTTCCTCCGAGCCACGCCAGGCCCGCGAGTGGCTGAGTCCCGGGGTAGTGACGCGCGCCCAGGGTCCCCGCACGCAGCGGCGGCGGCCGGCCCGGCCTTCCCCCTGCCCAGCGTCTCCTACGCGGCGCTCCGGGCCGCCGACAAAGATGCACTTTGTTTCCTCAGGGCGCGAAGGGCTCTGCGGGTCCGCGGCGACCCGGCGGTGGCTGCCCGTGCTGTTCTTGGCGCGACCCGAGCGCCACCCGGCGGCCGCGGGATGCGGGGCGCGGCGCGGGGTCCACACGGATGGCTTCCGAGGCTCGGGGCCAGCGTGGGAAGCTGCTAGTTCTGTGAATAAACTACCTTCCAGCACACCGGGCCAGCAAATCCACCAGCCTCCCCGCAGCCAAACCCAGCCAGATTAAGTAATAAAAACGCAGACAGAGTCGCTGGAGTCCCCGCTGTGGGGAGCGTTAATGAGTAACAGCCAGGCCAGCGCCGAGCCGGCGTGGGATTAGCGTTTTCAAATTCTGATCTTATTTATCTTGGGGCTCTTAGCGCCTTCCAGTGTTATGCTCAGAACATCGGACTCCAGGTCTGTGCTCAGCCCCGTTTCCTCGCTCCCTCCACTCCGAAGGCCCCACTCCTGGGAAATGGGCTGTCTTCGGTCACCCGGGATCAGTCACGAGTGTCCTACGGCTGGGGGCGGAGCAAGCAGGCCCTAAGGAACAATGAAGCCTTTGCCTCCTCTGCATCCTGCGGGCCGGATATCCGTTCAGAAGCCGGCTCTGGGCCTTCTCTGTCCATAAGGAGGAAACCCTCTGTCCCCAGGGCTGCCAGGAAGTCGCAGGGAGGTGCCGAGAGAAACAGAACAATTATTATGCATTGGGGAATATAAAGAAATTAATAAACTTTCCAGGCCTTAGAAAGTCACTGATTTTAACAACCCAAAATTGTCTTCTTTCCTGGGAGAGTATACCCACTACCACCACTTCCTTGTGTCTAGACTTGGGTCAGTGAGTCTCCCAGGGCCTCGTTTATCTTGTCTGCAAAATGGGGGCAATAACAGTTTACCTGTCAGAAGGCAGAGAGCTCAGCAGGTAACTTCTCAGGCACCTACCACTCCAGGAATTACTGTTCTAAGCAATCCAGGCTTGGTCTTTTCTATATAGGTATGTGGATTCCTAACTTCTAATGAAAGGATCCCTCTCAGACAGCGAGACCCCTAAAGCTGGCATCTCCTAGAGCCCCCCACCAACCACAGTCGTCAGTTGCTGGCAGTATAGGGCCTGATGCAGCCAGAAGTTTATTTGGCTAACATTAACAAAAACTTTTTTTTGAATGCCTTTAGACGGCTTATGCGCCATAACAATTTTCTCCAAGGTTGTTTTTTTGTTGTTAGTTTGTTTTTTTGAGATAGAGTCACTCTGTCACCCAGGCTGGAGTGCAGTGGCCCAGTCTCGGCTCACTGCAACCTCCTTCTCCAAGGTTCAAGCAATTCTTGTTCTTCAGCATCCCAAGTAGCTGGGATTACAGGTATGTGCCATCATCCCTGGCTAATTTTTGTATTTTGAGTAGAGACGGGGTTTTGCCATGATGGCCTGGCTGCTCTTGAACTCCTGGACCCGAGTGATCCACCTGCCTCTGCCTCCTAAAGTGCTGGGATTACAGGCATGAGCCACCACGCCCGGCTCCAAGTTTCATGAGTAATACAAATCATGGGGGATCTTGTTAAAATACAGATTCCATTTGGATAGATCTGGGGTGGTTTCTGTGATTTTGCTCTTTCTAACCAACTCCAGGGTTCTGTCGATCTTGGTCGGTTGATCACACTCTATAGTTAACCGTAACTCCCTATTGTCTTATACCCAGCCCAAGTCACTAGTGATTTTTATCTGTCTGGCCTGTATAGACATTTAAGTTTTCCATCCTGGGAACCCCTACTTCTCCCTCTCATTTTACAGATGTGAAACAGACCCAGAATAAGTGAGTTGGCATGGTCACTCAGCAAATGTTAGCCTGTCTATTTTTGTCTCCACTACAAGCTGTTGCATCCTGCCTACCCAAATAAATGGTTATACATCACGTTTTTATGCCTCTATGAGGAAATTGAGACATTCCAATTCAAGAATGGAATAATAATGGCTAGCGTTTACTCAACACCAACTGTAGGCCAGGCTCTTGTGGTCTTTTAAATGGATTATCTCCTTGAACACAATATCCAGATGAGGTAGGGAACACAGGCCTATTTTATAGATAAAGCACTAGGTTAAGAAACTTACAGGCTGGGCGCGGTGGCTCATGCCTATAATCCTAGCACTTTGGGAGGCCGAGGCGGGCAGATCACCTGAGGTCAGGAGTTCAAGACCAGCCTGAACGTGGTGAAACCTCGTCTCTACAAAAACTACAAAAATTAGCCCGGCATATTGGTGGGCGCCTAGCTACTCAGGAGGCTGAGTCAGGAGAATCACTTGAACCCAGTGAGCCAAGATCACACCATTGCACTCCAGCCTGGGCGAGTTCAAGAGTGAGACTCCATCTCAAAAAAAAAAAAAAAGGTTTTATAATTTGCCCAGGGTCACATAATTAATACGTAGAAGACCCAGGATTTGAACCCATCAGTCTGACTCAAGAGTCGGTGCACTGAATTTCTGGCTTACACAAGCTGGCCATCACTGCTTGGTGGTAACTGTTCTGTGTGGCTGCCAGGGTGAACTTGTATTATAAGAAAGCAAAGCATGCAAACTAAATGATTAAGATTTCAAGGGGTTTTTCATTTTCATTCATAATTCCACCGTTATGGCTTTATTCCTTTCAATTAACTGCACTAACAGCTGCTGGTCTTCTTGAAAAATGGGTTTGATTCAAGGAAGAGCAAGAAGGGAAATCCAAATGGAGGAGTGGGTGAGGATGGAGGGATGGGAATACGTCAAAGACAGCCAGCTTCCGACTCCACGCAGGAGCAGCTGAGCCAAAAATGCAAAAGAAGTCAGGTGCAGTGACTCATTCCTGCAATCCCAGCACTTTTAGAGACTGAGGTGGGGACACGGGGGCGGGGTGAAGATTGCTTGAGCCCGGGAGTTCAAGACCAACCTGGGCAACGTAGCAAAACCCTGAATCTACAAAAGAAATCTAAAATTTAGCCAGGCATGGTGGCATTGAGCTATGATTGCACCACTGCACTCCAGCTTGGGTGACAGACTAAGACTGTCTCTAAAAAGTAAAAAAGCAGTTGGGAGCAGTGACTCATGCCTATAATCCAGCACTTTGGGAGGCCGAGGCTGGTGGATCAACTGAGGTCACGAATTCAAGACCAGCCTGAGCAACATGGAGAAACCCGGTCTCTACTAAAAATACAGAATTAGCCAGGGGTGGTGCCACATGCCTGTAATCCCAGCTACACAGGAAGCTGAGGCAAAATTACTTGAACCCAGGAGGCGGAGGTTGTGGTGAGCCAAGATGACACCATTGCACTCCAGCCTGGGCAACAAGAGTAAAACTCCATCTCAATAAATAAATAAATAAGCAAAAGAAACAGGGAATCTTCTAATTCTTCTGTCAGCACCTGTATCGGCCATGGATAAAGCTGCTGGGTAAGAGTTCTTGTAAATAGAAGTCTACTATGCTGGAAAGCCACACACCTATCTGCCTTCTAAAATATGGATTCATTTTGCCTGAATAATCAAATTGGCTTTCTGAATAGTCCAGGAACTGGAGTTTCCACCCGTTTCCTTGACTCAAAGCTTTCTAATCCTCAGGAAGCAGCTGCAGATAGAGCTTCCATTCTCTCATTTATTCTCTTCTCCTTCAGAGTTTACCTTGATGTGTCCAGCCCTGCAGGGAGTTGAAGGCTATTTCCCAGGGAGCTGACCATTGGGAAGGAAAACACACCAGATGCAAACCCCCTCCATTCAATGGAGTAAGGGTCATTGTGGAAGCAGACAAAGGACTTTGCAACAAGGGAAGAAGTGATTTCAGGCACCCAGGGAGGACTCCAAGAGAGGAGAAATGTGAGCTGAAAGCAAGTTTGGAGGTATGAGGTTTCCAGTTAACATTTCCTTCCCTCTGCATTCCCTTCATCAGTGGACCCCAGTGGTTACCAATTGGACATTAAAAGTTTTACTATGGGCCAGGCTTTGGGAGGCCAAGGTGGGCAGATAACCTGAGGTCCGGAGTTTGAGACTAGCCTGGCCAACATGGTGAGACCACTGTCTCTACTAAAAATACAAAAATTAGCCAGATGTGGCAGCACACACCTGTAGTCCCAGCTACTCGGGAGGCTGAGGCATGAGAATCGCCTGAAACCGGGAGGCAGAGGCTGCAGTGAGCTGAGATGGCGCCACTACATTCCAGCCTGGGCAACAGAGCTAGACTCTGTTTCAAAAAAAAAAAAAAAAAAAAAAAAGTTTTAACATGCCGTAAACTGCCTATTGCTGTTCTTGTGACTTAATATTTTTCTTTAAAGTCAGCTCACTTTGAAAACTTTATATTCATCCTAACGGATAGTATTTGTGAAATGTGATGAGTAGTAGAAGTCTCACGCTTGAAAAAAACCGACCTCCAAGCAGCACGTAGTGACTTTGTAGCCTTCGGTTTTCAGATGAACTGGCTGATCTTAATGAATTGGTTGGTTTTGCCAGGTGATTGTTACCTGTAGACATCTAACCACCTAGCTCGGTCACGAGACTTTCTGGGATCATTTGTCTTGCATCAATTCTCAACTGCAAGTTCAGAAAAAACGATTCTTGCTGAAATGCACACGCCTGCTGATTGTCTCAGCCACGTGTGGTTGCCAAACTGCTGTCACTACAACAATTTAACACGGTCTTTTTTAGTGAAAAGGAAAGTCCTCCTTCCCTGCTACAGTGTTCAGTTAGGAGGGTTTCCACAGTAGATGTGTTACAAATTTTAACGAGACAGATTTTCAGTGCATGTACCTGTATCATGCATCTCCAGTATCAGTGCATCTCCAGTATCCATCCCATTACTGTACCCAGAACCTCACCCAATCCTCCAAGCAGGTACTGTCTAAGGACATGTTGCCTCCATTGTATATAGAGAAAACTGAGCATCAGAGAATTAGGAGGTCTGCTGCCCAAGGTCAACTGATTGAGTGGTGAGGCTAGTTATTTAGGTGTCTGCTTTCCCTTCTCAAAGGCCTAAAATGTGTCTTTTTCATCTTTTGATTCCCTTCTCTGTAGAACATAGTACATGCCTGACACAGTGAGCATTTGGCCATATTTATTAACTTGTACCACATATGGCATGACCCAGTCCTACCTAGGCCTCCAGGCTGCTAAATTATACTATACTAGGTAACTATCAAAATTCCCACATCTCTGCCAGGTCAGATTTTAAAAGGAAAAAAAATTAGGGGAGATTGGTCTCCTAATGTCAGAAGTCAACGTGTTATAGAAAATCAAGTGCAGTCTCTCAGTCCCTAGAACTTCCAGCTCTCTGATTGTACCAATGACCTCAAATCTGGCATCTTCTATAATCAACCCAGTAGTTAAATGGGTCCCAGAATTTTAAAGGAAACTAGGCAAACCAACTTCAATTCCATTTTGAGACTGAGTAAAACACAAGATGTTTAACCCAAAAATGGCACACAGAAAGCTGGGCATTTTTTTTGTTTGGTTTGTGACATGGTAAAAGCCGCATAAAACTGCATACCTCAGCCATACCTGGGCTTTCCGTTGAAACTGCTCTCTCTAATACTGATGTGACAGGCAAGCAGTCCAAACCCACGCCATCTTGGCCCCTGCGACTTGTAATAAGTAACTGAGGTCTGTAACTTCCAACCTACCCAGGCAATATGTAAACTAACACTTATCTTGACTTCTGTGAACCACTTAAGTAACAATCGAAATGTCCAAAGACCCTCGCCCCCACCCCTGCCCAAGAGGTGGTTTACAGGCATAAAAAGTTTTAACACCCTCCTTTCAGGGCCATGGGTTAAAAAAAACCACATATTTTTTTTAAGTCCTCTGTGACAGGTTCAGTGATGAAATAGTCAATAGATTGAAATGAAGGAAAAATGTTCAAATTGGCAAGGAAGTCACACAGTAAAGATATAAAAATTAATTCTGTACTTACAGAGTAGGGGAAGGAAAAACCCTCCCCTCTTCTCCAGTAATTTCTACTTTCTTCTTTGAGATGGAGTTTTGCTCTTGTTGCCCAGGCTGGAATGCAATGGCAGGATCTCAGCTCACAGCAGCCTCCGCCTTATGGGTTCAAGCGATTCTCTTGCCTCAGCCTCCCAAGTAGCTGGGATTACAGGCACCTACCACCACGCCCAGCTAATTTTTTGTATTTTTAGTAGAGATGGGGTTTCACCGTGTTGGACAGGCTGGTATCGAACTCTTGAACTCAGGTGGTCCACTCGCCTTGGCCTCCCAAAGTGCTTAGATTACAGGCGTGACCCACCATGCCTGGCCCCTTCCCCTGTAATTTACTTAAAAGCCAATTCTTTTCTGCTAATATAGATAAGGAAAGAATCCATCACTTGTGGTCTTTTTATGACCAGCATCTATCAGGTGATGACATATCTAAAGCTAGTCAGTTGTTTTGCATGGTAGCCTGTATTGGAAATATAGAAACAATATTATCAAAGGTAGAACTCCTTCTTAAGAGAGGAGGAGGAGGCAGGCTGAATTAAATGTAACATTAGGAGCCCTTAAAACCAGATGACTCATAGGTGAAGTGAGCTCACAGGGTTTCAACCTTACTGCTGCAACAGCATAAACTTTCTCTTGCTCTGGAAATTCTCAGTCCATTTATTTTTGAAGCCTTGGAATAAAGCACTTACTGACCTTATAATTTAGTCCATTATATGCATGTGAATATTTCATTGCCCCATTAAAAGGAGGATATATTTTCTCCCTTATTGAAGTCTTAGCCAGTTATATGCTAAATGTAATGCATTACACAGGCTGATTTTTTTACAATTACATAAAATAGAAAATAATATCTAATTTACCCCGTTGATTTGCAGCAGCTCAAGTCCCTCCTGTAGTGGCATCTCAGAGCAAAGCTGTGAGTTGATGTGCCTTAGAAATGAGTTTGTGCAGGAGTGTTTAGATACAGTTGGAGAACTACTCCAAGCAGCTGTCGTAGTCTCCTCCATGGAGAGAGGATGCCACCTAGCATGAACTCTGGAGAGCTGCAGCCAGCCCCTACGTGCCAAAAGCAAGCTGCAAGCTCCACAGCCTTCGTGTGCTCCACGATACCACTGAGTCCCCTCCAGTCCAGGCTGAATGTGACCTCTGTTTTGGGGGAGGTGGGAGGCAGGTTAGCCTGGAGAGACACTGGTTAATGTGCATCCCTGTCCTTTCAGGCCTTACAATAAGGCATCTTAGACTGGGTAATTTATTTATTTATTTTTTTTGAGACGGAGTTTCACTCATGTTACCCAGGCTGGAGTGCAATGGCGCGATCTCAGCTCACCGCAACCTCCGCCTCCTGGGTTCAGGCAATTCTCCTGCCTCAGCCTCCTGAGTAGCTGGGATTACAGGCACGTACCACCATGCCCAGCTAATTTTTTGTATTTTTAATAGAGACGGGGTTTCACCATGTTGACCAGGATGGTCTTGATCTCTTGACCTCGTGATCCACCCGCCACTGCCTCCCAAAGTGCTGGGATTACAGGCTTGAGCCACCGCGCCCGGCCCAGAGTGGGTAATTTATAAACAATAAAAATGGACTGCTCCTAGTTCTGGAGGCCAGAAAATCCAAGATAAGGCACCAGCAGATTTGGTGAGAGCTCTCTACTTCATGGATGGTGCCTTGTTGCTTTGTCCTCACATCGCAGAAGGAGCAAAAGAGCACTCTCAGGCCTCTTTTATAAGAGCACTAATTCTATTCAGGAGGGCTCCATTCTCATGACCTTGTCCCTCTCAAGGCCCACCTTTTTTTTTTTTTTTAAGAGTCTCCCTCTGCCACCCAGGCTGGAGTGCAGTGGTACAATCTCGGCTCACTGCAACCTCTGCCTCCCGAGTTTAAGCAATTCTCCTGCCTCACCCTCCCTAGTAGCTGGGATTACAGGTGCCTGCCACCATGCCCAGCTAACTTTTTGTATTTTTAGCAGAGACAGTGTTTCACCATGTTAGTCAGGCTGATCTCAAACTCCTGAGTCACCTCGTGATCCACCTGCCTTGACCTCCCAAAATGCTGGGATTACAGGCATGAGCCACTGCACCCTGCCAAGGCCCCACTTCTTAATACCCCAGGAGGGCCAGGAGGGGGAAAAAGAGGCAAGAGCAAGGGTGCCCCACACGGTGTCCTCTCAGGTGAGCAGCTCTTGCATCACAGGGGAGGAAGAAAGGAATATTTCAAAGGAGAAAAAATGGTCCCTAAGGGAGTCTCTATGGGGCTAAAAAGGTAATAGCATTTATAGCTCACATCCTGCTTTATGTTTGCCTTATCAGCATTGTAATTCCTGTCTGTTATTTCTAAGCCTTTAGCTTAAAATGATTGCCTGTCCTAGCTGGGATTGGAGAATTGAGAGAAAGGCATGTGACCCTCCTGGGACGCAGAGGTAAGTACAAGGAGAGCAGCAGCCCAAAGAAGCCCCTGGAGCTAGGGCTGGAGGGGAGCCGAGAAGCAAGTATCTGCCATGGGCTGGATAGCCAAGGTGAAGAGCCTGCCCAGGATCCATACGACAAAATGGAAAGATTCTTTGGTGCTCCCAAGAGGTCCTGAGAATGAATCTTGCTAGTCTGGGTAAGTAGGGGCTCTGGTTGCTGGATTTTTGGATATCAATGTTAATAACATTTTTAGTAGCTGCAATGAACTGAATGTGTTCCCCAAAAATTCAGATTGAAATTCTAATCCCTAATGTGATGGTATAAGGAGGTTGGAACTTTTTCTTTTTTCCCTTTTTTTTTTTTTTTGAGATGGAGTCTCGCTGTGTCACCCAGGCTGAAGTGCAGTGGCACGATCTTGACTCACTGCCACCTCCGCCTCCCTGGTTCAAGCAATTCTTACCTCAGCCTCCTGAGTAGCTGGGATTACAGGCGTCTGCCATGACGCCCAGCTAATTTTTTGTATTTTAAGTTGAGACAGGGTTTCACCATCTTGGCTAGGCTGTGACTGTACCCCTGACCTTGTGATCTGCCTGCCTGGGTCTCCCAAAGTGCTGTGATTACAGGCGTGAGCCACTGTGCCCAGCCAAGGAGGTGGGACCTTTGAGAGGTAATTAAGTCATGAGCATGGAGCCTTCATGAATGGGACCAGTGCTCTTATAAAAGGGACCCCAGAGAGCTCCTTCACCCTCTTCCCACCATGTGAAGATTCAATGAGAAGTCAGCAGCCTGCAACCCAGGAGAGCCCTCATCAGAATCTGATCATGCTGGCTCCCTGATCTCAGACCTCCAGCCTCTAGAACTGCGTGAAAGAAATTTCTGTTGTTTATAAGCCACCCAGTCTATGGTACTTGTTACAGCAGCCAGAACTGAGACAGTAGCCTAGCATGTCAAAGCAGAATCTGATAATTATATAAGGTAGCATTGTTCAAAGATGTGCTACTTCCTTTGGCATTTATCGAGTAACTATTAAGTAGGAAGCATAGTTAGGTACCACAAAGATGAGTAAGACATGCAAGCCCTTTCTTTACACTACTTGTAGGTGCTTACGGTCAACAAGTTACACATAAAAGAAGCTGGAATGGAAGACAGATCAACATGAGAAGTACAGACGGCTGTAAGAAGGGTGTTTTAAACTGTTTGGATCCAGTATTGGCAAAATCTCCGAGAAACTGCTGCTTTCATTCACTGTGGAGGGAGTGTAAACTGGCACAGCCTTTCTGGAAGGCAGTTTGGCAATACATATCAAAAATCTTAAAAACACACCTAGCCCTTACTCATAGCAGTTCCACTTCTAGAAAAACACCCTGGGCCGGGCGCGGTGGCTCAAGCCTGTAATCCCAGCACTTTGGGAGGCCGAGGCGGGTAGATCATGAGGTCAAGAGATCGAGACCATCCTGGTCAACATGGTGAAACCCCGTCTCTACCAAAAATACAAAAAATTAGCTGGGCATGGTGGTGCATGCCTGTAATCCCAGCTACTCAGGAGGCTGAGGCAGGAGAATTGCCTGAACCCAGGAGGCGGAGGTTGCGGTGAGCCGAGATTGCGCCATTGCACTCCAGCCTGGGTAACATGAGTGAAACTCTGTCTCAAAAAAAAAAAAAAAAAAGAAAAACACCCTGAAGAAATAGATAAGAACGTGTGCAAAGATTTGGCTACAAGGATGTATAAATATTACATTGTTGATTATAACATGAGGAAAAAGTTGAAACTAAACAAATTTCCAAGAATAACAGATTGGTTAGGTAAACTGTGAAACAACACTTCAGTGGTATTCCTGCCAAAAATGTTTAACCTGGACCTAATCAGGAGGAAGTATCAGACAAACCAAGTGGGAGATGTTCCACAAAAGAGCCAGACTGTGTTCCCCAAAAATGTCAAGGTCAAGAAAGATAAAGAATGGCTGAGGAACTATTCCAGATTAAAAGAAACTAAACAGGCCAGAGCCAGTGGCTCACACCTGTAGTCTCAGCACTTTGGGAGGCCAAGGCAGGCAGATCACTTGAGCCCAGGACTTAGATTAAGACCAGCTGGGCAGCATGGCAAACAAAACCCCCTCCCTACAAAAAATACAAAAATTAGCCAAGTTTGGTGGTGCGTGCCTGTAGTCCCAGCTACTCAGGAGCTGAGGTAGGAGGATTACTTGAGCCCTAGAAGTCAAGGCTGCTGAGCTGTGATTGCACCACTGCACTCTAGCCTGGGCAAGAGAGCAGGACTTTGTCTCAAAAAAAGAAACTAGAGGCCGGGAGAGGTGGGTCACGCCAGTAATACCAGCACTTTGGGAGGCCGAGGTGGGTGGATCGCCAGGTCAAGAGATTGAGACTATCCTGGTCAACATGGTGAAACCCTGTCTCTATTTTTATACAAAAATTAGCTGGGCATGGTGGTAGGTACCTGTAATCCTAGCTACTCAGGAGGCTAAGGCAGGGGAATGGCTTGAACCCGGGAGGTGGAGGTTGCAGTGAGCTGAGATCACGCCACTGCACTCCAGCATGGTGATAGAACAAGACAAAAGAAAGAGAGAGAGAGAAGGAGAGAAGGAGAGAGGGAGAGAGGGAGGGAAGGAAGGGAGAAAAGGGAGAGAGGGAAACTAGAGAAGAGACCACTAAGTGTGCTGTGTGTGATTTTGCATTGAATCATGGTAGGGAGGTGAGTGGCTACTATGAAGGACATTGTTGAGCCATTTGATTAAATTTGTATATGAACTGTGCATTAGATAATAGTGTATCAATGTTAAAATTCCTGGTTTTGAGCATTGTAATGTTGTTATTATATAAGAGAATATCCTTGTCCTTAAAAAATACACTGTCAAATATTGTGGAGCTTTAAAAAGTGAATTAGCGCTGGGCATGGTGGCTCACACCTAAAATCCTAGCACTTTGAGAGGCCGAGATGGGCAGATCACCTGAGGTCAGGATTTCATGACCAGCCTGGCCAACATGGCAAAACTCCATCTCTACTAAAAATTAGCCAGGCATGGTAGCGGGTACCTGTAATCTGAGCTACTTGGGAGGCTGAGGCAGGAGAATTGCTTGAACCCAGGAGGTGGAGGTTGCAGTGAGCTGAGATTGCGCCACTGCACTCCAGCCTGAGTGATAAGAAACTCTATCTCAGAAACAAAACAAAAATGAATTATTTAATCTGCAAACTAGGATAGGTGTCAGAGATTATTAAGAAGCAAACCATGATTAAAAAATAGTTCAAGGCAACAGTGGTTTTGTGATGAAACACAGAGGATTAACCATCTAAAGAATGATGTTGATGATCATTGCCACAGGCATCGAGGGAAAGGATGTGTCAGCTGGGCGTGTCCGAAGTGGCTGCACAGTGAGATTTTAGCTGGGCCTTCCACCAGATTCATCTGAATTTTCTAGGAGTCTGCTATGTGCCAAGCACTGTGCTAAGTCCTGGGGATATAACAGTGAGCAAGATGGGCATGATCCTTGCCCTGTCAGGCCTCTGTTCTAGGGAAGAACCCAACCAATGTCCAGTAAATAGATAAAGTAATTGCAATTGTAAGTTTCCAGTAAGTAAAAGGAAACAAGCAAGGGCCAAGACAGAGACTAATATTCACCATCATTGAGGAAGTCCTCTTGGGGAAGATGCTGTCAAAGCCAGGAACGAATAATCAAGAAGAACTAGCCAGTTATGAGTGGAGGGCACGAGCATGTCAATCAAGAAGACAGCATGTGCCCAGGTGAGGGGTAGCTGTTGGGGAAGTGGAAGTAGGCTAGCCTGGCTAAAGTGGGGATTGGGTCAGGAGGAGCCCAAAAGGAGATGTCTGAAAGGAGGCAGGCGTGCAGACCTGCAGGGGCACAGGCACGTAGGGCCTTGTACAAATTTCTGTTTTCTTCTAATGAGACAGAAAGCCATGGAAGAGTTTTAAGTAGGAGGTGAAACAATGGGTGGTGTTTTAAGAAGCATCACTGGCTGGGCATGGTGGCTTACGCTTGTAACCCCAGCACTTTGGGAGGCCAAGGCAAGTGGATCATGATGTCAGGAGGTTGAGACCAGCCTGTCCAATATGGTGAAACCCTGTTTCTACTAAAAAATACAAAAATTAGGGCATGGTGGTGCGTGCCTGTAGTCCCAGCTACTCAGAAGGCTGAGATAGGAAAATCACTTGAACCAGGAGGTGGAGGTTGCAGTGAGCCAAGATCGTGCCACTGTAATCTGGCCTGGACAACAGAGTAAGACTCTGCCTCACAAAAAAAGAGAGAAAAAAAAAAAAGAAGCATCATTGTTGATGCTGGGCAGAGAATGGATTGGAAGGAGGCAAGGGCGATAGTGGGAAGCCAATTAAAAGCAGGAGGGGGACAGGGAAGCTCAGACAGGGGCAGTGCTCAGGCTTGGACTTTTGCAATGTCCCCAGATAAAGTTCCACAGACCGTTACAGAGAGAGGCTGACGGGACTGAAAAGGAGAGCACCATCCCACACCTGCTAGTCTGGCTCTCATGAGCAGTGCTCCTGGCCTGGATAAAGATTTCTACCTAAGTCCTGTAATCAGCCTGTGGGGAGCATTTCATATTATAATTTTTGTTGTGCTGTGTCTCAGTGTGAGTGCCCCTAGACCTGGAGACAAGGATTCAAATGCAAGTAGCTTATTTGGGAAGGAGGTAAGGGAAAAGAACTAACACAGGGAAGGCAACCAGTAATGGGCATGTTAAGTTACCTCCATGGTGACCAGGACTAGATCTATGGGAAAACCCTGAGAGGCATGCGCCCCAGATTGTCCACTCCAGAGGTGAGGGAGCTGGGGTATTTCTACACAAATTCCCTCCACCCAGCCATTGCTGAGGGCTGCAGACAGCAGTGTAAATTCCCAAGTATTTCTGCCTTTCCACTGGGCAGACCGGGTTTCTGCAGTTATGCAGAAAGACCTCCATGCAGAGATGCAGATCCTGGCAGCTGGAAATCTCTGGAGCCCAAAGAAGTGGCAGGGTCCAAGGATACCAGAGAGATGTGAAAGCCATTCTTCGTGTCATTGTTGTTTCACTTTTAAAACAGACCTCTGTCAGGCTGGGCGCAGTGGCTCACACCTGTAATCTCAGCACTTTGGGAGGCTGAGGTGGGTGAATCACGAGGTCAGGAGCTTGAGACCAGCCTGGCCAAGATGGTGAAACCCCGTCTCTACTAAAAATAAAGAAATTAGCCGGACGTGGTGGCAGGTGCCTGTAATCCCAGCTACTTGGGAGGCTGAGGCAGGAGAATCGCTTGAACCCGGGAGGCGGTGGCTGCAGTGAGTCGAGATCGCACCACTGCACTCCAGCCTGGGCGAAAGAGTGAGACTCCATCTCAAAACAAAAAATAAAAATA